ATAGATTCAATTTATTTTACCTTTATGCTCAGAGGAAACATTTTGAGTTTTAAAATTATTTTTTTTCTGATATAGAAAATGTGAGTCTGTATATGTTCTAACAGACCCCAATTTGAATATTGTTGCTTATAAGAGCATAAAAAATCTTTAAAAACTAGTGCATTTATTTGCCTGGGAAACCATTGCTGCCCGTATGTCTCAAAAAGGGACTTTTACAGACATTATTACAAGAACACTTGTATGGTTAGCAGGTGCAGATTACATTCTTACATTCCAGCTTTACTCAAAAGTGTTTCTTTTGATCGACTGAACTATAGAATTCTGTTTCTAATAGCATCTATCTGAATAGCCTTTCCCTATCTAGAAGTTTTTCATTATACTTATTTTTTATGTCAATGAAAAAAATTGTAGAAGTGAGAAATTAATATTAGAAACTTTGTCTTGGGTAAATATCTAATTCATTACATTAAGACTTATTTTATAATAAATTAAGTTCTTCAGAAATAAAAGTAAAACACATCAAAATACAACTAGCTCCATCTAGTATTGGAATTGGATTTTATTGAAAGGAATTTGTAACCATTTGGCAGTGGGAAGGAGGCAAGACAATTGTGAGATACGATCTCTTGAGTCATTTCTTTAGAGCTGTGGAAATGGAATATCCCTTGAAGTTTGGCATACATATTTCTGCCAGTACTGCATATTGTTATTTCGTAGTAGCAGGATTTATTATTGCTAAAAGTGTGACGTTTCGCCTTATGTAAAATAACTGAAATCATTCCATAAATTCTGATACATGTTACTCAGAACTCTTGAGATTTTTATTTTAATTTTTACATGCAGACAATTTTGATATGTCATTTCATGTTGTTATGCTTTGAGAGTATTTCGGTTTTACAGTTTGAATGTTTATAGGGGTTCTAATATGTCCTCTTACATGTAGAAGTTAAGAGAAACTGCTCTAATTTAGTCTAGCCTTCTATATTTTTCTAGCTTGTGCATTAGATACTTATGGTAACTAGGCTTTGTAACTACTTGGAAATGCAGAGTTACAGCCAGATTTTACAATAAACCTAGTAAACTTTGTGTGGTGACTGTTGGAATTAATTAATTAATCAGCCAGCAGAATAACAGAAGGACTGTCGATCTGTATATACCTGTTTCTAGTTAACTCTTTGGAATTTCTGTTTTCCAATATTGGAATGCAAAGAGTATGAGCATTCGTTTATCTTAGCTCCAATTTTTTTTATTTATTTTTAAAGCCAGATTCTGTAATATTTTGTGTTACTCTGAATTGTAAAACTGTTCGGAATTAAACTGATTTGCCTCTCACTATCATATTTGAGAAATTAGTTACCAGTGCTTTTATAAATGCTTGAGTCTGAAATACTTGGAGAATGAGAATTATGTTTTGTTAGTTTTCACAGGACAGATGAAGTATTAAGTTTTGAAATGCACTTCAGATTGGTCATGCAGTTGAAAGTAAAGAATTACAATATTGGCGAATGAGTGGGACTAAAATAATAGATTTGCAAATTAAATGAGATGATTTTTCTAACCCAGGTGCTCGAGTAAACTTATATGAGCAAGTAAAGGTAGGAAAAACTTTGAGAACAAAACGGTTTGGGGAACTCCAACTATTTTGGGGGCTGAATGAGTAAGCAGAGGGTTCAAAGCAGGTAGACGATGAGTAGGGAAGAAAGACAACTAGAGAAGAGTTGTTGGGCTGCTGTGAGGATAGACTTGGTAGGGGTGAGAGGCCTCTCTGATCTTTGGCCACAGACGGATTTAACACATTACCCTGGATCTTGCTAAAACCTGTTTATGTGAAAACTGTAGGTTAAAGCTGTAGAGAACAAGGTCAGTCAAAGAGAAAAGAGATGGACTGGGACTGATCAAAAGTTGAAGTTCACTTTAGAAATGAGTTAGAAAGCCACTTTGTGCAAGAGAAGTATTCAAATATGAACAGTTTTTACATTTTATATGTTTAGAATTTGTGAGTAGAAGAACATCCTCCTTAAGCAAAAGGCTTTAAGAGGCTGAATAATATATAGAAAATGGTATAATTAAATATTTCTACAATATATATGCAACGTATAAGCAGAAACATGACTACATCTGTTGTTGCATAAATTCTTAAAAATCATTATTTTTGTTTTTACATACCCAAACCAAAAGTTTCTGCATTTACTTGGGAACTGGAAGGAAAAAAATCATGGAAAGAATTCCAAATTATTGTACTTTGTCTTCTGAAGAATCATAGATCTATATAACCCAGAGAGACCCAGTCTTCTCTGATAGGGGAGTAAATGGCCGAGATACTTCCTAAGCTGAGGGCCATACATTTTCTTCTGCACTCTTTCTTTTCCAGGGCCAGGGTCGTCTCATATATGAAAGAAGGCTTAGTTGTATGATTAAAGAAGTCTTCGTTTTCCAGTTTCACATTCTCATAGTATTATTCTTTAAAACGAAGATTTTTTTTAATATTTAGCACGAAAATGTGAATATTTAGTAACTACCCTCTCTGAAGCAGTTAACTAACTAAAGGAGTATCAGGTAACATGCGAAGAGAGTATAAATTTTGATAGTTTCTTGATTTTTGGAAGAAAAGGACAGATTTTGTCTTGGCCATCGTATATAATAAGAAATTTGTCTTTGGGATCCTCTTGTAGTGCAGCGGGTTAAAAGCACAGGCTACAGAGTTATACTCCCTGAGTTTTAGTCCTTTTTCTACCACATTGTCTTCACTACTGGTTAACTTACAGTGAATATTAAATATTGATGCAAAAGAAAAGTAGCATCTTGTCTGTATTTCTCAAAAAAAAAATGGGTTATTTATCTTCTTTGCAAAAAATATCCCATCTTCCTATATTATTCAGCTGTTTTACTTCTGCTTACCAGCAACTGTTTAGGAATTATCCAACACAAATCCAGAATAATAAACAGTTCTATTCTCTTAATAATAGGTTTAAGCAGCATTTTGCCTTTGGAGGGGATCATATTCTAAAAATCATATGAGAAGGGAAGGTTATTTTTTCTTTCTTATATGTACAGTGTTAGGTAGTAGCTTTATTGTGGTGTTTTTTCTTGTCTTTTTCCTAATAGTAAAAGGACAGACTGAATTAGGAAAAACTTAAATTTGCTGTTTTGAGTTTCCTGATACCATTATCTCTTACTCCTGGGGGGCTCTAGGTTGGATTATGAGGTAGTTGTCATTGTTATTCAAATAAATGAATGAACTAGAACACACACTATCAGGATTCTATACTCATATTGCTTTGCCAAGAAAAGCCTCACATAGAATATGCATTTTTATGCCAGTTATGTGTTTTAAGGCATATATATATTTTTGATTCCCTGCTTAACTTACATTTCCAATTAACAGATGCAATGATGATTTTGATAAATATGATGCCATAAAATAGACAATTCAACCTCTTTTTGATAAGTTCAAGTGCCCGTGCACGTACAAATCTTGCTTAGTTATGAGAGAGTGCATAGAGAGCACCCTGTAATTTTTGATATTTTTGTAGTAGCTAGATCTAGCTAGCAAGACTTTTATGTTAATGTATTCAGAAGCCAAAGTACTACTCTTCTGCACAAGGGGATTTTTGAATGCATTGGCTGGTCATTCATGTATATAGGCCTGGGGAAAACTCTTAGAGTAAAATACGACTAAGTATATTTTGACAAGTAAATTATCAAGTGAGTTCATACATCTCTTAGAGATACCCTCTCTGATCATCCAGTAAAGTCACTACTACACCACCCTGTTAAATTATTTTAACATTACTCTATTGTACTTTCTTCACAGCACTTAATCACTATAAAAAGTTATCTGGTTCATGTGCTAGTTTTCCTACCTATTAGCCTGTAGGAGAGCATCAGAGAGCTTACTGATCTTGTTCACTGCTGTATCTGAGAGCCTAAAACAACAGTGCCAGACACATTTGAGACTCATTAACTGTTTATATTATCAATGCGTGAATGATTTTTGAAGACACTTAGAGATCAAGGTGATCTTATAGTTTTATAGATATTATTTAGTATATATATTATTTATAGATATGTTTAGATAGTGTTGAATGTTTTGGGGGAGGACCTAAAATTAAATACAAAATCGAGTATACATGTATATTTTTTAATGTATAAAAATCCTTCATTTTAGTCTCAGAAATATCCTTGAGTCTTTAGAAGATAAAAGACCACCAATACTGAATAGTGGATAGACTTCAAGTTCTTCAAACAATTCTACATATAAAACATCACCTATTTTATTACATCTTTAGTAAGATTCTTATTTTTGGTGAAACTGGAATAAAGGCAGGTAACTAATTTGATGATTTAAATGTATCGGTTTACTTTAAAGCTCAGAGTGTAACAGAATAAGGTAATCAAGTCCATGAGTGATTTATAGTATATAGATGTCGATGGCGAGAAAATATTTAGGTAGATTAGGTGGTAATATCAAATTGGAAGAGGCACATTGTAGGTGAGCATAATGTGAATTGACTTTAATTTTTACAGCAATGCCTTCTTTGATCCCACTTTTGAGTATGATACTTCCCAAATTGAACAATTTATAATTTCTCAGGTAAAATTATAATCTCCCTAATTTTTTGCTAAGTCAAATATTTCACATTTTAAAACTATTTCTGTTAGGCTGTGATAAAATGATTAAATTGCAAGATAATTATGTTTTTTAGCCATTGGACAAATTTTCTATATGAAATTATATTTTAATGTTTCTGCTGTATTACTTATTACTCTTATACTGTTCAGAAACATATTTACCCAGTGGTCATCTTAATTGATAATTTCATTTAATAATAATTGATGAATAGGATTTTCTCCATTCCTTTGAAACCTCAGTTTTTGAATTTTTAGGAATTATTCAGGGATTCTCAGCTGTGTTTTTTAAGTTCTTTTATAAACATTGTTTTATGTTTGTTAATATAGATAAGGAAAATTAATGTAAAGACTTTTTTAATGTCTTTCAGCCAATGGTAATGATAGTAAAAAATTTAAAGGAGAAGATAAAATGGATGGTGCTCCTTCTCGTGTACTTCATATTCGAAAATTACCTGGCGAAGTGACAGAAACTGAAGTTATTGCTTTAGGCTTACCTTTTGGAAAGGTGACCAACATCCTTATGCTGAAAGGAAAAAATCAGGTATACTTCTTTTAGGACTTAGAGAATATTAAGCTGCAGACTATCCAGCAGGTGTGAATTAGCTGTCCTAATAAAAGTATAAAATATAGTTCTTTTAGAAAAGAAGTCTTATTCTTTTCCTGGTAGTTGTTGTGTGGTGAACTAATGCTAGGCTAGGGAGCTAAAATAAATAACTCACAAGTTTTCAAATTTTGCCTTTTGAATTTATTTTAGGACTGAACAATCGTTATAATGAAGTTGTGGAAAATACAAATGAAGTACAGTATTTTATTGTGGGTCTGCTCTTTGTAATATCAGTAGGGGTACTAGTAGCATCTTGTTCTTTAAGCATATTCCATGGAAATACTTATCCGATAGCATTAAAATAGTTATTAATCCTAGATAGTCTTCATTGAACAATGTCCCTGTAGCAGTAAGGCCCAGATATATTAAAAATCAGATTTTTTAAATTAACAGACTCAGTGATTTTGTTAATGATACCACAAAATAGAAAATTCAGCCTCTTTCTGATAAGTTCAAGTGCCTGTGCACGTTCAAATCTTCCTTAGTTATGAGAGGGTGCATGGAGAGCACCCTGTAATTTTTGATCTTTCTGGCGTAGTGAGAACTAACTAGCAAGACTTTTATATTAATGTATTCAGAAGCCAGAGTACTACTCTTCTGCACAAGACCCACTTAAGGGGATTTTTGAATGCATTGGCTGACTATTCATGTATGTAAACTTGAGGGAAACTCTGAGTAAAATATGACTTAAGTTTAATTAGACTAGTAAGTTATCGAGTTAATAGTACCATTTAGAAGAACTTAGGAAATTTAACAGTCTCTTAAGTATAGGTAATGTTAGTAATAATCTGACATTTAATTTTTAACTTTTTTCTTTGTCTATTATACGGCTTCAAAAATGACATCTCTAATATTCTCTAGGTTAGGAGTGGTAAAATTCTGATGCTAGGAATTGTTTAGATTTAATTTTCTGTAGCTTTTGTTGGGGGAAGTACTTTTGTGGTGTATGGAAAATCAATGGGAAGTAGAAGCAGCATGTACTCAAAGAGCTTTTTACTTAGGTTAACTTTAATTGTATACCTAACCTTCCAATAAGGATTTCCGGTTCTTATTAGAGCATCTATATCTAACTTGAAAGATTATATCTATATACTGATTTTTCTAATTAGCTGAATAGATTACACAGATATTAAAGTTTATTTGAATTTAATTTATAGTGTTACAACTTTTGCTATTTAAATTTTTAGGCATTTTTGGAACTAGCAACAGAAGAAGCAGCTATTACTATGGTTAATTACTATTCCGCTGTGACACCTCATCTTCGTAACCAACCGATTTATATCCAGTACTCCAATCACAAAGAACTAAAAACAGATAATACATTAAACCAAGTAAGTATATGTAGGTATATAAGTGAAATGACCTAGAACATATTAAGAATCTCATAAATTTATTAACAGAAAATAAAAATTTTAACCATTCTGAAGATGTTTCTGTGGGCATTCTGTTAGTGTGAAGACCTTTTTTTGGCATTGTGTCCCTATGTGTTAAATATTACATTAATTTACAATAATTCTGTGTGGTCTCTTTCATATTTTAAATTAGTACTGGATGAATTAGTTAAATATTTTATCAATGCTTTTAAGGTCCTGGTCAAATGTTCTTTTTCTTGTTGCAAGTTAAGTTTTTGTATAGAAACTGTTTATGAAGTAGAACTTATTAGCATAAACTCTTTGTACAGATCTATTGCTGGGACTTGAAGGTATGAAGTTCACTCCCTTTGGTTACTTGACTTTAACAGGTCCTAATTTCTTACAGAAAAATTCCTGTTTAAGATATGTTAATGGTTTTCCTGGGGGAAAATATAAGAATTAAAAATATATGAAGGTATTGATCTTCTAAAACTGTGATGTAGAAGATACTATTTTAAATTAATATATTTTTTAAAATATATGACTGATTTTAGACCTAAGTGCATGGACTGTAGTAATAATTAAAAACTATAGTTTCAATGTAGTTTAATATATTTTTGTAGCTAATTATATTTTTCTCTTTCAGTAAATTCTAAATTGTATCTGGTTCGTTGTCTTACCTAAAATTTAATGAAAAATAATTTTTCATAGATTTTAACATTTATAAAAGGTGATTTAAGTGACTTTAATAGTTTTTCTAAAAATAAGCATATAAATTTTTTGTATAAAAGATAAGGCTAAAATTTCAGCTGTTTTTTTTTTTTTTTAATTTGGTAATAATTCTCATTCCTTTTGAACCAGAAGTTGTACTTCTAAGAATTTATCATAAGGAAATGCATCACAAGAAAATATCTGTTCTCTAATCTTTTTATTTAGAATTTAAAATGGCATTTGATGTCCCAATTTTATTTTATATATTAGTATTTTCAGTAATTTGTGAATACATTTTTATTTTAAAAGATTCAAATGACAGGAACATGTAAAGAATAAAGCTAAGACAGCAATAAATAGATGTATATAAGGGAGGGAAATTTTTAATTTTAAAGAGGATAACCAGTGAAGACCCCATCAAGAAGTGACATTCGAGTAATAAACTTCAAAGTAGCTAAGGAATAAGGTGCTTAGTCCAGTCTGGGTTTTTTTTAGACACAAGGTAATAGTGTAGAATTCTTTCTGTTAAAATATTTTTCGCAGCCATATTTTTAATTTTCAAAAGCCCTTTAATCTTTGATCATCCTTTTCGCATTTGTTTTATGACTTCGCAGTTCTTTATGGATACTAATAGTGTTATAAAAATATTTCACTGTACTCCAGATTATTTCTTTTTTTCTTCAGCGTTAATTGTTGCATTTATCTTGTTTTCTTTCCTTCTTCCCCTTACCCCCCGTTTTCTGTTCATATTTTAGAACGGACAATTAGGTTTTATTGGGCCTGAATACTTTCCTATAAAGTAATGAGTTGGATACCAAGCTGAGATTCCCCTTAGATGCCAAAGAGATCTTTATTCTGGGTCAACAAAATTCTCTTTAGAATTTCTGGTTCCCCGAAAGGGAACGTTTTGTTGTTGTTATTTTTGTTTTTGTTTTTTAATAGTAAAGGAGAGAAATGGTGGGGGAGAGGAGGGAGAGGAGTTTAGCTGTTTGACTTTATTAGTCCTTTTATTTTCACTTTTTGTCCTGTGAACCTATCGATTTCTGTAACCTTAATTTCTCTGACTGCTACCAGTCCAAACCCTTTTTGCTATGGGTTCACTATGTCTTTTGTCCATTTGGTTCCATTCATTTTCTCTGTTCCAAGAAATTAATAAAAATGAGTCTTAGTTGATAATGACCTCTGCTCAGCGTTTGTGTTTAGAAGAGAAGCAAGTGAATATGTATCAACCATAAATTCCTCTGGAACCCTTCCTCAAATCAAGTCCTGTCAATTCACTCTCCTTAATATCTCCTTACTTTCCTTCATCTTTCTTGCTACTTTCATTAGCTCAGACACAGTCTCCTCTTCGCTCTATTACTGTAATAGTGATCTGCTTTAATTTTCCTTTTGAATTCTTTTTCTCGATGTCTTTCTGAAATGCACAGATCTAAGTGCCTGTCAGGATAAAGTCCCTTTCTAAGATGGCTACTGTTTCTATATTCTGTTTTTATGATTCCTTTCACCCTATACAGCTGTGCTTCTGTCCCAAAAGTAAATGTAGATCCTCTAACCTGGCATGCTTTCTCTTGTTTTTCAGGCTTTTTGAGTCCATTGTGTCTCTGTACTGTCACTTTTGCCTGTAATATTGTGGCCTTGCCAGCTTTTGTGCTGTCTTCCGCCCTACTCCTCACCCCATGTTTTACAAGGCCAGTTATTAGACATCTTCAGGTCTCCCCTTAGCTAGTTTCCTCTAGAAAGCCATCCTTTGATCCACAAAGAGTGGATTAGATTTGAATTAAGAACCTTTAATACAGAATCACAGGGAGTTAACTACCATGTACTGCTAGACTGGCTAAAATTAAGACAGTTAAAACCAAGTGTTGGTAATAATGTAGAAAAGCTTGAACTCTCATTTATAAGTGATAGGAACAGAAACTGGTAGAATCATTTTTACAAATTTGAAATATTTACTAAAGCTGAGCATATTTATTCTTTGACTTAGTAAGTCTACACCTAGTTATATACCTAAGGAAACACATGTGCATCAGAAGATATATATGAAAAAGTTCATGGCACACTGTGTAATAGTCCAAAGCTGGACGCTATCCAAATGTTCAGCAGCAGTAGAATATATTGTGTATCCATTAGGTGGAATACTGCCTATAAAAAGAATGAACAAGCTACTGGTACCTGCAAAATATGGATATGCATCATAAATATGTTTATTGAAAGAAAATGTATGGAGTAAATGAATACTTATGTGCTTGTATGGAACGGATATATGCACATATGCTTGCATATATGTAATACTAGATGGTATTTCTGGAAGGATACCCAAAGTAATACTGGCGAAGGGTGGGTAAGGGAAAGCAGATAAAGTGGCAGGGTTACAGAGGAAACTTTTAACCTTTTGTACCTTTTGGATAATATACCATGATCATATGATTCCCATTTTAAAAAAGCATTCCATTATTTGATATGGCAGATGTTAATGTTTTTCTTAGTTGTGATTATTCTTGCTTGTTGTAATTTCATATAATATGTGAAAGGACATGTTCACGAATGAAAAAGTAATGTGGTGAGCTACTTTAAAGCTTATTTAAATATGTATTGAGTTAAATGCAGCAGATCCTTGAATAACATCATTGTGAAAATGAGACGCCATAGAAATTTAACACTTCGTAATAAAATTGGTTTTGTTATGTCCTTTTGCTTGAAGTTGCAGAACCTATTGACGAAGTTAAGTGAGGATCTACTGTATATTCAGACATTTAAATTAACATTGCTCTAGACATCTTTTTATCCCTCTTTTTTCTTTATAACTATATTCTCCATATAATGTAAATGTCTTTATTAAATATGTTTTAAAATGTCGAATTTGAATTAATGAGTCACTTTAGATAACAAATTTATAGGTCATGTTATTATTTAATTAGCATAGCATTTAAATAATGAGGTTTGCCTACATGAACACATGGTCTCTTTGAGTCCCAAGACATACATGATCCTTTATTATATACTATTTCAGTGAAATGACCATTTTTTCCACTCAGCTTTTTGAGGTATAATTGACATGTAACATTGTTAAGTTTAAGGTATACCTGTTGATTTGATATGTATTGCACAGTGATTACCACCACAGTGTTAGCTAACACCTCCAAAAAAAGGTAACACTTCACAAATTTTTGTGTCATCTTTGGGTAGGGGCCACACTGATCTTTTGGTGCAGTTTTAGGACATGTGCTGCTGAAGTGAGCACTAACCATTCTTATTTGTTCTCATACATGTCCTAATTCTTTTGTATTCTTCCTTTTCATTCATCACTGTGATCTATTTGTATTCCTGTTCATCTGCCAGTACAGTTTTTAAAAATTTTAAAGCAGTGCAGAGTTGTTTATAATTGTTACCTTTAATGATTATTTCCTTTTATATAGATTTTTGACCCTGGATAAGTTAGAAAGAAATTATCTTCTTATTTATGAACCTGTTCAACTAATAACAACAACAGCAAAATAGTAATAAAGGCAGTGTTTTTAGAACATTTAACATGATTTAGTTGACAGATTTCCTAAAAATACTGTGTTCAGTTCTTAATGTATACACATTTTAAAATCTACAATCAAAATGTGTGTTACAGTAGTTGATGTTATGGTTTAATTAGCAATATCTTATTAGTCATACATAAAATAATAGTGCATTTTACAAGTGTGTATTAGATACTATAACCTGTATGGGAAATACCCTCTATATTTTATCTTAAAGTATTTCTGAAAATGTCATGGCTTTATACATTAGTGTATATCAGTTTCTGTTCTAAAAATTTGGGTGCCAGAAGTTAACACCAGTATTAAAAAAGACTTAATTTGTATTCTGAATATTCTTGTAAGATTGTATTAGAAATAATAAGCTTTATGGGAATTCTTTTTGATAGTAGAATAATTCCCTTTAGGTTTACCATATGCCCTTTTTATGCACAATAATGTTAGATGGAAATTTTATTCTTTTCTAAAAGTTTATTTGATTATATGGCAAATCCATATAATCAGAAAATGTAGGTACATCTTGTTCTTTTGAAAATAAATAACGTTGCCTGTTTACACTTGTTAGCATTGGTCCCAAACCCTAGATAATTGTTTTGCAGTAAATACTAAAATAGTTGAATTATAAACAGACAGTGCCTGGCAGATGCTCAAAAGTAGTTGAATGAATGTTAAATTTTGTTTAACTTATGTGTTTTAGAAAAGAAATGAGCTAATAGTGTAACATGTAGCAAAAAATAAGTGAAAATACTTGATGTATTTCTAAAGTGCTTTTATCTTTCAATTTTCAGCGTGCTCAAGCAGTCCTTCAAGCTGTGACAGCTGTCCAGACAGCAAATACTCCTCTTAGTGGCACCACAGTTAGTGAGAGTGCAGTGACTCCAGCCCAGAGTCCAGTGCTTAGAATAATTATTGACAATATGTACTACCCTGTGACACTTGATGTTCTTCACCAAGTAAGTTTAATTTCATCGGCATGTTGACCTATAAATTGAAGAAATAACAGTATAGTAGATAAAAATGTTTTGATTTTAATTTTTTAACAGATATTCTCTAAATTTGGTGCTGTATTGAAGATAATCACCTTTACAAAAAATAACCAGTTTCAAGCTCTCCTCCAGTATGGTGATCCAGTAAATGCTCAACAAGCAAAACTTGTAAGTCTAGATAATATTTTTTTGAGGTAGTGATATTTTTCATAGGTAGATACACACAGCTAATTCATACTGATGTAACTTAGCAATACCATGTAGATGACACAGATTGGTGTCACTAAGATAATATTAGAAAAGTTTAGTATTTGTGATAAAAAAGAAATGTTTATTTTTAAAGATAATCATATCTGCAGTTATTACAATATAGGCTTATATTATTTTGCATTTTTATTTGGTTTAGATTTTGTACCGTTGAGGATATATAGCAGGATTGTATTGTGCATGCACACCTGTATGCATATGGGAGTTTTCAGTGGGAATTTCAAAGTAATTAATTTAGCTGTCTTTTTAAAGGTTTTTTTTTTTAAAGATAGGTTTTCTGAATGGGTTTCTGTTCTACTTTTCATTCACATTATTTACTTTTTGTTGTTGTTACATACGGAGAGTAAGAAATTATTAAAAGAAGTCTTTCCCTGTCATGGCTACCATACCACATTTTTGCTTCTAAATGCTTTAATCTTCTGTTTATGTATCATATTTAAACCTACCTTTGCTCTGCCTCTTTAACTTCTTGTGCCATATTATGTCATTATTATTCCAGTGTTAAACCATTAAATCACTCTTTTTTTGTCTTAGCTCTTTTTCTACCTTTCACTCTTACTTTGACTAATTATTATAGTCTGAAATACTTCAGTGCTTCCTCTAGATTAAGCTAGCTTGTATGGAACCCAGACCATTTTTGATTATTGCTTCATTGCATTTCCATCCTTAGAATCTCATTTGGGAGCAAAAACAGCTTCAGGTAGCAGAAAAACTGTATAACTGGAGTGGTTTGCCAAGTGTTATTATCTCAATTTTTTCTGACTATTACTCCGTGTTGTAAACAGAACAGGAATTTTTCCTATGTTATAAGGGGATGCTAAAATTTAAAGAGGTAAATTACTTGTCATAATGTACATTATCTGTAAGGTAGAAGTTTTCTCAATCTTCTTTTCTCTCATTCCCAAGTTATAGTTATGCTATCTAATCTTACTGTATTTTCCTTTTCAGGCATAAATTAACAGTTATAATTTTTTCTCCAAAAATAATTTTCTTAACATTCTCCAACTCTTCAACTTTGGAGATATTTTATATTTAAAGAGTTAGCAAAATCAGCATATGAGGTTTGATCAGTAGCAGACAGTCTAAAAGCCATGATTTCTATGGCATTTTTTACAACCTCAAACATATTTAAATATAGCACACATTTTTCTTAATGTAGAATATTTTCTTTGTCATTCCCTTCTGATCGAGAGGAATAGTATTTGTTAAAGGACCAATGAAATGGAATTTGTTAGGAATTATTCTTCATTTGCGCTAATATTCAATGGGGAAAGTAGTTTATATGTATATCTTTTCTGGAGTAATCTATAGTTACATTTAATCTTATGATAAAAAAATTATACCTCAATTATGTTAGAAGGATTTGAGGTTTTCATTTACTCAGTCTTCTGTGCATAGGTAATAAGCATCAAACTATAGGTGTTTGTGATTATTATAAACACTCAAGTTTTCTCTAGAAAGATCTGCAGTTGTCATTTTAAAAGAGTAGTTAAGAGAGGAAAAAAGAGTTTTCGAAACTTGCTTGACTCATTATCTCATAATTCAGACTCCTGGTTAAAATATATACTTTTGATGATTCAGTCATCTTTCTTTATGCCTGTGTCTGGACTCTTGAGTATACCCAGAGAATATCACATAATCTAACCAGTTTAACTTCATCAACATCAGTTACAAAATAGGCCCATTACTCTGCTTGAAAAATCTTCCTACATTTCTCCAGTCAGAGTGTTCTCCCATTTTTCATGATGACTATATCAAACAGTAATTTCTCCTTCAACCATGTCTCTCCTCACTCCCCTTTTTGACCTTGCCTACTGCTTCTCAGAAAAAAAAAAACAAAAGTATCAGATGGAAACTCCATCAGCTTTACTCACAAAATCACTATCCCCATACCTATCTTTCTTTTCATAAAAGGCATAGATATTGCTATTTAAGACTAGTAAATGGATCCCATCCTCTCCTGCACTATCCATCATCCCCTTTTTTATAGTTTTCTCTGTGTTGGCTGCTACTCACCAATGTTTCCTTAAGCCTCTGTCATTTTAAATGAATTTACCCTTAACTCTATCTCTCTCTCTCTCCATCTGTCTATCACCCTCAGTTCTCCCTTTTCATTTATAATCAGACTTTTTAAATAAGCTTGCTTTATTTGCTTTTTATACTTCTGATCCTCTTGTTATTTCTCTACCTACTGTAATTTGGTTTCAGTCCCCATTTACCCAAATTGTTCTACCCGGTGTCACCAGTGAACCCTAGAGTAGCTAAACCTCACCAGCATTGAGTCCTTCTCTTACCTAATGTCTAGATAGCATTTGACACTGTGAACCACTCTGTTTTTTTTTGGTTTTTTTTGTTTTTTTTTTTTAACCACTCTAACCACTCTCCGGTGTCACCAGTGAACCCTAGAGTAGCTAAACCTCACCAGCATTGAGTCCTTCTCTTACCTAATGTCTAGATAGCATTTGACACTGTGAACCACTCTGTTTTTTTTTGGTTTTTTTTTGTTTTTTTTTTTTAACCACTCTCTTAAGATCCTCTCTTTTCCGGGTAACTGATACTTCTCACCTAGATGAACCCCACCTCTCTGTTTCTTCCTTGTCAGATCCCTCCTGCTGCCCGGGGATCTTGCCCTTTCCCACAGCTCTCGTACACCTTTGTTACTCTGACAGTGCTCACATCACTTTCTCTAGCTCATACCTCTCCTAAGAGACCCAAACTAGGCACCCAGTGGACTATGGGGCACTTTCAAAGTTAGCATGTTCAATTTATCTCTCACCCCACCCCACCCCTCCAAAAAAAATCCCTGCTAAACTTCTGGTGTTCCCTGTGTCAATGAAACTCAAGGTGAAAAACTAAGCAATAAGTTAGAAACATGGAGTCATTCTTTATTTCTCTTCCTTTCAGTCTATCACCAAATCTTATTGATTCTAGATCCTAAATTTCTTTGAATCTGTCCTTTTGTCTCCAACTCTCTTGCAACCCTCCCTAGATTAAGCCAGTGTTGTTTAAAGTGCTGGGCTCTGATGCTGCAAAGTGCTTGTGCCAAAATGCAAATCAGCATACTGCTAGCTACAGTATGTTTAGTGTTCCATACTGATATAAATTCTGATGCAAACTTCTTATCTTCATGCAGAGTGACTTGGGCTGTTACCCATGAACCACAGTGTGAATGGTACTGATCTATGCCATCATCTCTTAAAACTTACTGCTTCATTGGCTTTCTGACTGAACTCACCACTTTGACTTCTTTCCCCACAGCTGTTATTTTTCCAGAGTACTAAGAATGATGCCAAAGTCACATTACTTCCATCCTTGGTGCTCTTCAGTTACTGACTTTTGTCCTTTGTATAAAGTCCTCAGTCCTTAACATGGCTGTAAACTAAATCAATCCTCCGCTTGCCTCTCCTGTCTTATCTCCCACCTCTTTCACTATATTGGACTTCTTTAAATAGCTTACTTATGTTGTATTGTCTCTGATCTCTTAGGCTTACAACTTGCTGTTTATTCCATTTGCTAATACTATTTTCAGCTCCTTATCTTCTTGTTTCAAGTTACCAGTTTAGAAGTCTCTTCTCAGAGAAATGTTCTATAACCTTTCATTTAGATTAAATCTCCCTTTCTTAGTTCTCATCACCATACATCAATTGTTAATTACTTGTTAAATGTCTGTATTTTCCGTTGGACTGTGTCTGCTTTGTTCTCTGCTGCGTTCCTAGAACTTAGCACAATGCATAGCATATTGTAGGTATTGGGACATTTTCATCCCAGGTCACAACTTTCCCAGCACCTGATGTGCTATAAATTTTTTCCTGCCTTTCAGCCATCCATGTATCTCAGTATATCATAAAATGAGTTAGTTCTAAGCTTTGTAATTTAGTTGCTAGATATTTATGCTTGTTAAGACAATGGAGGTCATATAAAATTATAGGCAAGAAGTAAGAATTTGGGATGAGACTCTCAAGCCTACCTCTCCACTTCTAGTGATAATTTTTCCAGTGAATGAGAGATGGAAAAAAACCTCTTAAGCACTGGGAATTCATTTAGCAGGCAAAGTGTACCTTCATGTTTGGGGGAAGAGAATTTATAGTGTTCTAAAAAGTATGCTCCAGAGCCTATCCATGTTCCTCTCTTATAGATTGCTTCTTTTAAAAAAGGACTCTTAAGCTGTCCTGAACTAACAAATTATAATCTTTGTGGTTGGGAGCCCAATATTCTGGGTTTTTTTGGTTGGTTGATGGTTGGGGTGTTTTGTTTTGTTTTGTTTTGTTTTGTTCTTGAAAGCTTTGGGAACCACTGATAGCAAATGCTGCTTGAGTGACAGAGCCAACCGAACTCTTTCCATATATTAGTTATGGTCTTTGGCAATTACTTTCAGGAAATTTCCCCCCTAGCAACTCAGAAAAAAAAACAGATTAACTGATTTTTTAGTGAGGGTTGGAGGGGAAAGTACACCAGTTTCCTGAATTTGTCCTGAGGCTGGTATATGTCGCAGTCCAGTCTTTTTAATAAAACTCTCTTTAGTTAACAACAAAAGTTAATGTTGTGTATATTGACGGTTGACATTTAGGGTGATGATCACAAGTCGTAGTAACAACCATAATTATCAAATAAGAAGTAAATGTTTTAAATGATCCTCGCATTTATTAAAGAAAATACCTTAATGCCTTTTTTTGAAAATCTTGTTTTTTAGCAAGCAGTGTGTTGAGCAAAGATGTACCTTACTATTATAACACACTTGAGTAGAAAATAGCTCTTTTTGTTTGTGTGTTGGAATCAGCTTTTCAGTAGCATTATCTATTTTTATTAAGAATATCAGTAGCTGACACTAGATAGTGACAGTGTCTTTTGGAAGTCCTTTAATATGATCGTTTTATTTACAAACGGATTGTTTCTCATGAGTGATTCCTTCTAGGAGCTTGTATTTCATTAGTTACTAACAGTAAAAATAAACAGGAGGTAAAATATTTGCAGCAGTAAGATCATGTCATTCATTCCTTCTTACCCTGGTACTCTGCTTTTTGTGGAGTGTTTGAGAGACCTAATGAAATTATCCTTTCCTGTTTTCTTAGATAAAGATTTGATTCTCCTTGACACCTGCCTAATTCTTATCTTTTTAGTGTTTACAATCTATGTAATGCACATGCATATGATTGGAGGATTTATGATGAAACTAATGATTTCAGAATGTTTTAGAAAAATCCTGCAGGATCTGCTAGTTTGGGGTGGTTTTATATTGGTAAATGATTGGTCTGAAGTATTAGTATAATGGAACTTTTTATCTACTTACCTTTGATAATTTTTCATGACTACCTGAAGATAGATATTTAAAGAATTTGGAGCTTAAAATTTCCCTGAGCATCTACTAAATCTATGACTCTCAGCAACCTTCTCAGGAAAGAGTAGATAAATTGGAAATAGGTTTATTGGGACTTTTCCTATTTTAATTCATATGCAGTGTTTTCATTCTGCTATTTATGCATTCTGTGTCTAACATCTTTCCTTAGTTTTATCATGTTTTAGCCATAACTCTTATATTTAGTACGAAAATGTTTTTGCTAATTGTTTTTGTTAACTATCAACTTTCCCTGTGAGTAGACACATTTGAGGTGTTTCTGCATATTGGCTTGAGGTTTAACATTCAGAAATCTTTGCTCCAATAAGATTACTGCAGTCCTGATTGCTGTACCACAAGACCGATTTGTGTGCTCCTATTATCTCTTGGAATTTTGGAAATACATGAGCTTGAAGTGAGCTTGCATGTATGTTTTAATTAGATTTTTTTCACCTTTCTTATTTGTGTTTGCCTTACTTCAGCCAATTGTTGAAAATGCCTGAATTTCTGTTTGCATGCATCCTCAGTTCTTGTTCCTCTTCTTTGTTGCTAACACATTTTAATTTCCATATTTTTTGCTGATTTCTCTAGCTTATGAACTTCAGGGATACTTATATATCTTCCACCAGCATAAAGGAGGTGTTTTTTTGTTTCGTTTTGTTTTTTGTTTTTTAAGTTAAAAAGAAAATGTCAAGATTTCTAGAAGGCTTCCTAACAATTAGCATATTTACTATAGATATTTGATAGCCTCAATATTACTTGGAAATAACTCAGCTCCAAATAAACTTTGCTTACTGTGAAGTCAGTAATTTTGTATTAGTACTTTACTTTTTGTATTAACCTAGATAACTTATGACCCAAAGCCAGGTATTTTCTTAACAAGATATCAGAATTTTCCTTCAATGTTGTTGAAATAGTAATCTAAGAGTAAATTTTGCTACTCATCTCTTGATATTCACATACCGAGTATAGAGATACAGAATCTATTACTTGGCTCTCATTTCCCCTGTAGGAATGCTGTATGAGTAAATGAATACCTATTTTCAATGCTTTGTTTGCCTTTACAGCAGAGCATTGAATTAATGTTTATATTCTGGCTGACAAGGTTGATCCTTGGGTTTCCACTCTCATCTGATGACAGTTACCTTGCCTAACTCAAATGTAATTCAGATCCCAATGTGTTTGTAGTCCCTTTGAGTTTTCCCCAGTATTATGTTGAAATGGCTGAAGTTGTATTGAATTATTTTTTAGATTAGTTTTAGTTTGGTAAATATGTTCACATAAACTTAATTTTGTATACTAAGGAAAAAGACTTTTTTCCCCCAGAGAGTGTGACTATTTGAATGAATTACAAGCTCTGTATACTTAAATAGCTATGTAGGTTTACTCTTTCCGTCATAGGACACTCCTGTTTTTAAGCCTGTTTCATTACTTAGCCAACCACATGGCAATTAAAGTCATACCGAGGGAATATAAAAATTTTTCAAACATCAAGCATGTGAAAAAAATGTTGGTTTACTATTAAAATAATATAATTCTAAATTTACACGCCTAATGGATCTTGATCTATGTAAACATCAGCCTTGATAATTTATCTCTTGTTATTAGAAGAACTGTTGTTTAATTTTCAGTGATTTATAGATTTAAATTTGTTCCTCATTTCTGAACTGTCATTTTATACAGTAAAAGTTTATTCTAATGAAAAACTAACAGTATATGTTACTGCTCTCTAGTTTGTTCCAGGCTTACATATAGCTGGAGTGGAAATGATGAATATATAGGAGCAGAAAAAAACATAATCATAACAGCGGCATAGTCATTTGCCATTTATTATGTACTTTTATATATATGATCTTTTATTTAATCCTCATAATAACCCCATGAGGAGGAATCATGGCAGTCATTATCATCTCTGGTTTTCAGAGTAAGAAAGACTCTGAGATTCAGAGAGGTTAAGTTAACTTAACTTGCTCAAGATGACCCAATTGAGCTTAGGCTTTCAACTCTAGAGCTGGCGCTCTTCTACTCCAGAACTTCCCTGGAATGTCGTTGGATTTGCTAATTCAATGAGTTATTCTTATTCAGGTTGAACACCTCAGGTTAAGGAAGATAATAGATTTTACCCATTTTGTGAGAATTACTATTATGCATTTTGGCTTGAGACCCTTTATACAATGTGGGATCAAACAGAAGTTACTTTATAAAACTATGTCAATTCTTAAGAGTATTGCTACCCAGCAAAAAAATATATGTATAATAAAATTAAAAGTATCATGCAGGCTATTATGGTACTACTTTGGAAGGACTGACTATACTTGTGACCCTTGTTATTTTTTAAAATTAAATTATTTGCAGATTTTAAAAACTAATAGTATTAGCACATGTGCTTAATTGGTTGTATTTTAGGTTTAAGTAGCACTTTCTATTTCAAGAAGATAGTATTTGTGAAAACTAATACCTGTACTGCTGGGATAGCAAAGAATGATGTGTAACATATTTTGATCCCTTTCCTGGTAGCTGTTATGTGCAGGTTTTCATTGTTGAATTTTACTGTCAAAGTAATATCTTTTTGCAAAGTTTTATTTCTTAACATTGCTGATATACTGTATTCACTTTTATAGGCCCTAGATGGTCAGAATATTTATAATGCTTGCTGTACCCTAAGGATTGATTTTTCCAAACTTGTGAATTTGAATGTAAAATACAACAACGATAAAAGTAGGGATTATACTCGACCTGACCTTCCATCTGGGGATGGACAGCCTGCATTGGACCCAGCTATTGCTGCAGCATTTGCCAAGGAGACATCCCTCTTAGGTATGATTTTTATCATCTATACCACTTTTCTTCTATTTTGCCAAATGAGAAAGTGCCAATGAAACTCAGTAAGTATAATGAGTCCCCCATTTTGGAATTTAAAAAATTGTGTTACATTTTATTTTTCTCAGGTGAGAAGGCATATGAATACAATTGGTAAAAACCTAAAGTATCCTTCATAAGTTACATTTATGTCAGTTATATGTTTTTCACCATACTTACCTTCTCTCCCACTCTCCCAAGTAAAAGAACAAAAGCTGTAATGAAAAAATACTGTTAAGTTCTTAATAAAACATTTACACTTTAAACTGGATGTCACACTGTCTAAGTTGAAGTCTAGGTCTAGGTCTCCTGTGCATATTCTTTAGGGCTAACCTGTTTTAATTTAGCACTACATAGAAACAGTGAAGTGTTAACAGATAAAACGTGTAATGGGAGTAAGGTGCATCATAGCCTCTCTTTAAAAAAAGAAAAAATTTTAACCTGGAGAGAATTTTTTATAAAATTTTGCCATTTGTCTAAATCATTTGTATTTCACCTTGTACTAGAATGGATTTGACCCATCTAACAAAAAAAAGTGCAAAAATTTGTGACTAATAGTTAGTATAGTCAAGATGACAAAAATAAGGGAAAATGTTATTTTGTAAGTGAAATGGGTGATTTATAACAAGATGAAATTTACATTTTTTTTTAATTTGATGTATATGGGAAATTCTTTACTTTTGACATTTGTAAAGATTATCTTTAAATTAGTTTTTATTAGATTATTTTTAAATTATCTTTAAATTAGATTACCTTTAAATTAGTTCTGTCTCCATGGAACCCAAGATTGATGAGTGCCAAACTAGTTCTTACAGTTTACTTTCTGCCCATCAACAACAAAAAAAGGCATTTTAATAAAGTAATTCTTGAAATTTACTGTGGATATATAATATTTGTGCTATCCATTTGTAAATATGTAGTAATATATGTGATGCATCTATGAACAGAGGCACCCTGATGCACAAGAGAAGCAACTGATACTTGAAATTACTTCTGGCGACTTAATTCAGACAAAACTCGCCCTTTATTCTAAGTTTCTTCTATGTCTACGTAAGCCATAGCTGTTTATTATGACTATAATAGACGCTTTTTTGGTTGATAACATTCTTTCCTGACAAAATTTCTATCACTTTATGGGCGTAGTTTAAGCCTTTATTCCCTCATCTCAGCTTATAAGTTAATATTGACTGTTTGATAGTATATCATTTTTAAAGATAAAATCGAGTGAGACAGTAATGAATGATACATGGCCTTTGCTTATAATTACTACTATAGGTTATTCTTTTGTGATAGAATTGTATTGAAGAGATAAAAAGATATTTATTGAATAGCTTCTTAGTCCTAGGTATTCTACTAGGGACTTAGCAGATATAATATTTAATTCTTAAGATACCAAACAAAGTAGAAGATAACATCAAGACTATATATATAGTTTTTGAGAAGTTTAAAAATTCACATGGAACTCATTAAATAATTTAAGGGTAAAATACCAAGAAACTTCAGCTAGTATCAGACATAGAACACTGAGGAGCTATGTGCCTTTGCCCATTTGAGTATAGTTAGATGTAGGTGGATTCTGGGTTACAAGTCACCTGATTTCTTCTCCTAGGGAATTCATCACTGTTTTCTTTGTAATCTCATGGCCTTGTTAAAATTTTTAAAAAGTAATAGTAAATGTCTCAAATTCTGAAGCCTTGGCATAACTAGCTTCTATCTTACTCTGTGCCTTTATTTTTTTTCCAGCTGTTCTACATTTTTTGCATAAAAAGCATATGAGTAAAGTCGATCAGTTCTTATTTAATAAATTGTCTCGTGTCTTCCAGCTCTGTTGAATATTTTAATGTAATAGATTTTTGTTTCTTCACTCTGCCTGGTAAGGAAAACATTCTGTGGTGAAAATATGTGAATTCATATTCCTTTACTAAATAGCTTCATCATTTACCTGTTTTAATAGTCTTGCATCTTGTTATAACTGAGCTTTTAAGTATCCTAAAGTAGTTTTGGAAAGTAGGTGAGTTTATAAGTTTTAAAAATCAAATAATGAGCTCTTTAGTATAATTTACAAGAGATAACCACTTTTATATTTTGGTATATATTTTTTTCTTTTTTCCTATGTAAATACAAACTTGTACAAAATTAAAATCACACTGTATTTGCAGTTTTGTATTGTAATTGTCATTTTACTAAGAATTTTTTCGGAAAAATGATAATTTTAATAGCTGCATAGCTATTAAAGTATGGCTATATCATACTTGTGAAAGTAATTTTGTTGGACATTTAGTCTACTTCCATATTTTTTATTAATAAAAATGGCATGTGAAAACACCCTGCACATAACTGTCAAACTATTTCCTTAGGCTAAACTCCTAGAATTAGAATTATTGGGTCAAAGAAAATGTTGAGGCTACTGAATCTTACCGCAAATTCTTCTCTAGAAGGTGATGTTAATTTAAACATGAATGGTACATGATGTTGGCTATTCTCCCCCCCCCCCATCATCATTGCATATTCTTTTGTCAATTTGCTAAGATCTTCATTTGATAAGAATGTCAGGTTATTTTAATTTTTATTATTTTATGATCTAGTTTACTTTTAAGTGTTTATTATATATTTGCAAGTCTCTGAATTGGTTGTCAGGATTCTTTGAGTTGGGATGTACAGTATATGTAAAATGCATATTAAGTATCCTATGTTTATATTTAATATGAGCTGATCCTTCAACTTTATTCACACATTCTAGACTAGCCAATTTATGGAAAAGTATTTTTAATTCATCTTAATATAAAAATATGCATTTATAGGACATTAAGGTACCTTTTTTCCATACATTTGGTGGATATTTTGATCTTTATTAGGAGCCACTTGCAGTTTTGCTTTTTAAAGTATTCTTCAAACACTCTTTACAGCTGCCATCCAATATCGCTTTAATGAGGTCATGCCTTCTGGATTGGTAGCTAAATCTTTGTGTGTGTTTTTGATTCCAGTGATACTTAGGTGACTTCAGAGTACAACCAAACTAGTATTGATCGAATCCATTTCCTGCTATCCTTTCCCTCTGCTTCCTCCCTCAGTTCATGTATTGTAGAAAGCTAGTTCTTTAAAGTCTCACAGTCTTCGACTGGTCTGGCTTTTTCCTTATAGTGTCATTCCTAATTTGTTTCTCCATCCACTGCTGCTTTTATGTAAACTAGGAGTTAGCTCCAAAAGCTTGATTAGATTCAGATTCTGTTATTAATATTTGTTTAAGAAGAATACTTTGTAGGTGCTCTTTGTGCTTCATATTGTATCTTAGCAGGAAGCATGAAACATCTGGTTTTCCCACTTTAAGTTACTTTAGTGATGCTTTGAGATTGATTGTGGTTTGGGGTAGTAACATTCTGATCTTCCATTATATTTTTATACTAATGGTTTTAGTATCCACTAATGTCGCTGCGTTAATTTATTTCATTTGAGGGGTGCAAATATGTTTTTTTTACCCCCTAATGTACACATTCCTTCTACATTAATTAGCTGAAACAAGTTTAAACAAGTTTATAAATCGGTATAACCTAAGTTCTTCCCACCTTCTGCTTTAAACTTTAGAAACTGTTGGTTGCTTCCGGTTTCTGGTAGTCCAGGTGGTTTGAGATAGTGAAATTAACTTAAAGGTGATAAGTTTTGTTTACGTAATTATTGTTTTTTTGTTGTTTGTTTGGTCTTGTCCAGTGGCCCCCAAAAAGGAAGGGGGTAGGTGGGTAAAGAACTAAACAGAGCTAATTAAAATTTAGATATTTTTTTCTTTTAAAAAATAATTCATCATAAAGAGCTGGAGAGCATTAATATGATCTCAGTAAATACCAGTAGACTGTAAAATCACTTCTCTCTTATAGCTAATTGTGAGAAAAAAAATAACCTCCAAGTTGTTCAAGTTGTTTATAGCATCTAGTAATTTCACCCCTTGGAGAGCCTCTGGAAAGTTTGTCAGGTCTAGGGTATGTGGACTTTCTGCCACTGGGAATGCTTATAAGGCTCACTAAATGCTACTAAAACACCCCGTGCCTTTTTTTTTTTTTTTTTTTTTTTTTTTGGTAACCACGTGTATGTGCAGTCTCAGCCTGTTTATTCTTTTTGAATGTGATTCTATAAGATGTACAGTAAAAACATCTGTGATGAAAAAGTGCTATCATATATGCTATTGTAGTGGAGTGATAGAGGGAACTTTCATTAAACTAGACTAATTGGAAATTAATATTGTAACAGTGAGCTCTAATAGAGCAGTGCTTGTGTATTTTCTTAAAATATATTTAAGTGATGCCTATGTTTTCCTTTTGTATGAGTGCATTTTTTTATTTTTAAAAAATAAGATATATTCTTTCATCGTCATTTAGGTATTACTTAATAAATTTAGGCTATTCAAGGTTTCAGTATTCTCCAAAGATGAGTGCGTTTTGGAAATTCTTTTTTTTTTCTTACTCAACCAGTCAGTAACCCCAGAGATTAGGAAGAACAAAATTATTGATATTTTCATGAGTTTGTAAAGCTGTTTTCAGTTAATTATTGTGACGTAGGCCATTAAATAGATGTTTCTAAAAAGAAATGCTGATGAAAAGGACTCTTAAACACATATACCAGTTTCTAAGGAACGAGGTCTTTTGGATAATTGGTATTGATTGAGGGGGTTTAGCTGTTTTTTTCTACCACTGTTTGCTCTCTAAAAATTTGGCTCCACTCTCTAAATGCCTTTTGGGGGTAGTTTTACAGTAAGAATAACTATTTAGGAGATTATTAGCTTAAAATTATCTACTTAGATTCTGCCTCTATTGCTTGGAGTTCTTCATTTTATATATTTTTGGCAAATACATTTGAAATACTGTGGCTTAGAATGGATTTATCTCAATCCCAAAGTTTGTCTGATGCATATGAATACTCATAATAGCTAACCATTTACTGAGTGCGTATTATGTGCCAGGCATCGTACTTTTAGCCCTTTACTTGTAAGTTCTCACATCATCCCTAAATAAAGTTACCTTTATTTCCCCCATTTTACACAGAAACTGGGACATAGATTAGCACTTTGCTCAAATTTCCATAATTAGTGAGTGGCTGAGACAGTTCTCAGAGGCAGGCAGTCTGGCTCTAAAGTCCATGCTCCTAACTAATAAACAATAATATTTCCTGTAGATTAGCTGGGACTTTTAGCCTATTTTTTCATCTATGGAGTTAATATAGAATAATGTCATACATATAGTAAATATGTAAGTCCTATACTTTTAACTTTTTTTCATATACTAAGATGTTTTCTGTTGCCATGACAGTTTTTTTGTTGCCAAGTCCATTCAATGTTTAATCTGGTTATTTTATGATTACAGAACCAAAAGTGGGTATTGTTTATATATCCATTCAAAATTGCATCCAAATAGGAATATGTATATATAACATGCAAGCCAAAATAAACTGAATTTATATTTTTTCTTTTCACAAAATATACATTAAAACCTACATACCAAAATCTTAATTTTGCAAAACCCTAATCTATAATAGTCCATTAATAAGACCAAAATAATTACAAATACACAAACATGCTAGAAACATTTCCCAGAAATATTGAACTACATAGATTTTGAAAGTATTACTGAACGCTATTACACCAAAATACAAAACAAACAAACCATGTAATTAAAACAATATATTATCATGTTCAACATAAACAAATCAGAAATTTTTGGTCAGAAGTCACATGAAAATACCTGTACTAATTCACTGTCCTGTAACTTTGGTTTTCTCATTTTATTTCTGTTTTAACATCTAAGTAAGAAACAGTAGTTGGGAGATGCTTACTTCATATGTGCACTCTTCAAAGTGATGTTGAGTTCTTTGGATTATCAAACTACCTTCTATTTTCCTATGGCTGAATTTTAAAAATAATAATTTTAAGTCTTTAAAATGTCTATTTTAATGGTAAATGTTTACAGTGAGGAAGTATGTGCAATCACTAAGAGTGATTTCAAATCCAGACATCCTGAGTTGAAAATTTTGCTCAACTTCACTGTCTCAGTTTCTGTGTTTGTATATGACAGCATTCGTGTGTTCTGTGGCCGTTGTGAGAATTAAATGTGTTAATGCATTCAGTGAACTTTGCACAGTGCCTGGCATTAATGAATGCTCATTTCATGGTAATCATTTTTTTAAAGCTAGCTTTAGTTCTGGAATTGATTATAGTAGATTGGATCAAGAGGATAGTGGAAATGTTGGGGTCTAGAAAAATATAGAGATAATTTTTATCATCATTGTGATAACCTGAAGGGATTTTTTTCAAGCTTATATAGAAATTTTAAGGGCAGAGCTGGAGCCAGAAATAAAATCATCGGCTTTATAGTCCATAATCTTTTCACCATTCTATATCTTTATGAAGAAAAAAAGGAAACAGATAAGAAGGGAGTACTTTTGAAGTTGGTTGAAAATTTGAGAGAATTTGGATCTCAGTATTACAAGATACTTGTTGAACAAAATGGGGTTGAGAGTAGGATATAAGACTTAAGTCTGGTGGCTATTTTAGGGAACTCCAGACTAGGAAATCTGCTAACGTTGGATAGCAAAATGTTTGTGGAATCGGTTTGGGTTTGTGTGTGTATGTTTTCACTCTTAATATTCCACAAACCCAGATGAGAGCATATCGAAAGTATAAAATTAAATTTATCCAAGTCTGGTGTTGGAGAGCATTACAGGATTAGTAGGAAGTAAGCCTACTAATAAAGGCCAGCAGTGGTTCATTGGTTTTGTGGGAGTAGGAGGATTGGGAAGCTGAAAGAATGAAATCAGGAAAGGGGATTTAAATGTTAGAAACAAATGGCAGAGATAGATGGAGGGGAGGGAGGAAAGGGAGAGGGAGAAAAAAGATACAGCAAGTGAACTTCAATGTGAGATACAAAGTTCAAGAGAACTCCAGCAGGTAAGTAGGAGGAAGTACAGAGTACCTTAGTAAACAGGTGATGGTTTTAAGAGTTAAGTTATGTACAGAGAGAATGCTAAGGAATAGCTTTTTGAGATTATTTTAATTTGGGTAACTAATGATAATTAGTTCTTTGGTTAAGTTTTTCTGCCTTAGTAGGCCCTGAGAATTATTGCTTCTTGCCTTTTAGAATTGACAATGAAACCAGAAGTTAAACTGATTTTAATTTTTTTATTGTGAAAAAAGAACCAGTCACATGGCTTTGATGGATTTTAAAAATACTTTTTTATTGCCAAAAGGAATTCGAGGGTTGGTATTGAACTTTTTTCTTCATGCCATCTTTTGCAGTTGGTATTTGTGTGTGTGTGTGTGTACACGCATGTGTGCAACACGCACACACATGTGTGCCCATATACCATCAACTGGATCCTATTAAGACCAAAGAACTTAACAGAATTTTAAGTTTCTTTTTCCCACTGAAAGATAGCCAATTAAAGGCAGGGAAACAAGGAATGATTTTACAGTGTAATGCCTATGCCTACATCTGGAGTTTCTGCCACTGTTAAATAATTGTGTTGCCAACTTTAGTTGGATACTATGTGCTTGCAGCCAAAGCTATGGGAAAATATGGAAAAGCAGTGTTTAAGAGGAAGGGGTCACTTTCTAAGAATGTGCAAGAACAAAGGTGAGTGCATGCCTAGGAGTTAGGAATATATCTTTATACATGACATTGCCATCAAATGAAGATACCCACCGAATGTTAAATGGAAACAACCTATAAAGTGTAATGAGAGCTGTGATGTTTAATGTGGAGAGAAGTTAGTGATGCCATGGAATAGCTGGTTAAAAGGATCCATGCTGGTGGATCCAAAAATGCACTAAAAGGCTACTGTGCATTAGTAAATACTAGACATAAGAAGCTTCTATTTTAAAATTAGATGCTTATTTCTGGGATTTAGTTTAAAAATAAAATGGGTGAGTGAATGAAACAAGATTGGCCATGATCTAATAATTGTTTAACCAGTGTAATGGGCACCTGGGGGTTATTATTCTAATCTCTCTACTTTTGTATATTTTGAAAATTTTCCAAAACAAAATAAATTCTAAGGAAAGTAGATAAATAGATAAAAAGAGAGATTCTAAAACATGGTGTAGGCAAAAATGTATAAATTCATCCAGAGCAAGAATGTAAATGAGAAACATCATTCCACTGGAGTTCTCAGAATAGATAAAAAAAAATTAATTGACGGGGAAAAAAATTTAAGTCAAAAACTAAATCGGTTTAAGGAGTTGTGAATCTTAAAGAACCCTTCAGACTGACAGTGAGAGATTGTGGTAGTTTCTAAAGTAAAAAGATAACAACTTGGCTAAAAGAATAAGGTATCTGAAACCAAAGGTAACTTCACATCCCTGTGACATACACAAGAAGGCTCGAAAGAAAAGAAGAAATGGGACTACAGTGCTAAGGGCCAGTTCTACCCAGGTATGTCATAAATTAACTTCATTTAGGTTGGATGTATGTTTCCTTTATTATGGGAATGAGAAGAAGAACATATTTCTTTAGTGAACTGATACTGAGAAATAAGCTGGTATGTAAGAATTTAAAGGATGAAAGGATTCTGAGTTCATTGGTAATCGAAAAGCGGATAAAAGAGACTGAGACAAAAGAATTCTCTCTAGAATAAATGACTGAACTATCTTAAGACTGTGATGTAGAAGAAGGAAATATTAAAACTGGTAGGCAAAAGATAAAATACTGAAAGAGGAAGTCTGATATAGTGATGTTCTCATTCTTTCTACTGCGGAAGTGTTGTATTTGAGAAACTTGTGTTCACTATCACTACTTGAGTGTGGAATTAAGACACAGAATTTGGTAAGATTTTCTTTAGGTCTTTGAATTAAATAATAATGTTCAGGGTGATTTGTCTATAGGAACTGATGGACTTACTGTATTCGTTTCATAAACTGATTATTCAATTTCAAGTGTGAATATATGAAGAAGATAGTACTTGTATAAAAAAGTGAGTTACTATTATCAAATATGCCTTTTTAAACCATGGAAATGAATTTTTCAAGTCTCTTGGAAATATATTCTTTATGCTTTGTTTGCTTTTCCATAGGAAATGGAATATTTTATATTTAATTTTTTAACATAATACAGGTATGTACCTTAGTTCTAATATTTAATGATTTCATTGAAACCAGTTATTTTTCTCTAACTACATGTCAGCGAACCATTTTTCTAAATGTTACAGAAATTAATTTTCAGGAACCATTTGGAATGGTCAACCCTAAGCCATGCAGCCATCGTGCTTAAATTGGTATTGTAAATGACTTGTGTGTATTTCGTAAAATATGCTTTATTTTAAAATTAGGGCTTCCTGTTGCAGCTGTTCCAGGAGCTCTGAGTCCTTTGGCTATTCCAAATGCGGCTGCGGCTGCGGCTGCGGCTGCTGCTGGCCGAGTGGGTATGCCTGGAGTCTCAGCTGGTGGCAATACAGTCCTGTTGGTTAGCAATTTAAATGAGGAGGTCAGTAACATAATTTTCCGATGTTTATTCTTTAACTCCATTTCATTTGTGAAAGTTTTTCATGTTTATTTCATTTTGCACTTGCCTTTCTGTTTATGTACATTCATTAGTCAAAGTATTTTTTTTGTATGTTTCTACTTCTGAATAAAATCTTTGTACATGTTTAAGTAATACTTTATTTCTTTAGACAGTCATATCTCTATATAGATATATATATATTTTTTAATCTAACTACCTATTTTTCCTAAGAAAAATATGGTGAAGTACCGTAGTTTGGCTTTTTATCTTTTTGTTGTTCTCAAAGGCAAATGTAATCTAATTTGCAGATATAACTGTAAAACAATTTTGCTCTTTGCGTTTTCTAATTATTTGCTTGTTCATTTCATGCTTATGTGTCATTGCATTTTTTTAAATCTTATTTTGTGTGAACTACTCTAATACATTTTTCTTTGAAGGTTCTTCCAAAGAGCTTGACGAGGCACTCTTCCAGTTTTTCTTAGTAATTTTTTCTTTGCAGTTATTAGTTATTGTCTTCTAAAAATATTTTTCAACTTTATCCCCCCCTTCTTGTTCAATAAAATTTATTGTTATTTTCTTTAGTTGTACATTTTATGTCTGGTATATTTTATTTTGATTGCTATGAAAGCTGTTATGAAATGTGGGAAGCTCAATGTATCAGTTTACACTGTCTAATTTGAATATTTGTTTCATTTTTAATTGGCCTCTGTTAATACGAACATTAAGCTTATTTTATCATTTAATACTATTGTCATTCAGTTCTGCATGCCAAAATGTTTGAATCAGAGTGCCTTTGTTTTTCTTTTAAGAATTTTGCCTGCATTTCATAACCAGCCATGCTTATGCAGTTAAAGTTCAAAGTTTAAAATTCCTATGCATGCTTTCCTTCCCCATGTTGAGATGAAATGCTGTAATTTACTCTTTGATATAGATGTACTTTACCCATATTTGTCTTGGATGACTACATTTTACTCAGTTTTTCTTGTACAGTACATAAACCAACCATTTTCTGACCAAATTCCTGCATTTCCTATGTACTGACCTATATTTTATTTTTTTTTTGTTCCCCAATTCCTTATTTTTTTCTTCTGCATTGCTGTTTCCCTTCCCCATTTCATCCTTTTCCCTGTGTGTTCACCTTCCCTTTCCTTGTCTTTCCCCAAATGCCCATTCCCTTCCCTGTCTTATCCTTTATTTTCCTTGTCCTTGTCTTCATTCCCTGTCTCCATTCCCTATGTTCATGCTTCTGTGCTTGAACAAATGTTCCTCGGACCAACTTGCCCCAATTAACCGCCTTGAACCATGATCCATGACCACCTCACCATTCTGCGGGAACCACCCTTCGTTATGGATGATCTGTTCATC